CCTGACGGTTGGGGTATTGGGTAGAATATGTACCTACCATACTATGGAGTGCAGATGGTGCGATAACTTTTACAATTTACGTTCCAAGGTTTCTTACGGATAAGGTACGTTACAAAGTGGAAACCCGACGTATGTCTGACCGCGTGCCTTTTTATCAGCTTCTACAAGGAGGAACTTGGCGGCGAGACCAGGAATTATATTCACAACCGCCGTATGGCAACCGGCAAGGATGTCTTCGCAGTCCTGGAAGACGTCGCCACCGACACGGTAGATGCCGCCAACAGAGCCTCCGCCATCCTCAAGGGGAGGGGCACGTACGAGCAGTCTATGCAGGAGTGCGCCCGAGGCTTCCACGCCATGCACACATCGAACCCACGGTACAAGATGGCTGATATGGACTTGGCCGAGGAGCATCCTCTGGCTCCGTACGAACATCTCATGGCGGAGATCTTTGGCGGTCATGAAAAGGTGAAGGCATGAAGCTTCGCAAGCTTTGCCCTTCTTCCCCTTTTATGACTTACACACCCACACACACTGTTTACGATTTGATGTTATTGCGATTTGGAAGCAGCATGAGATACCTACTGGGAGGCATTCTGATTATTTATTGTTCGGTTTTGTTTTTATTTCTTTGGTATGAAGGTTTGACTATCGACCTGCCTTGTCGTTGGTGTGGCTGTTTTGTTTTTATCAACTGCATGGATGAGTACGCTGAGCGACTGAACGTAGCATTTGCAATCTTAGGTTATCGGATATCTGTAGTGCCGAGCGAGAAAGTTTTGTACTATTTACGAGAGAGAGCGAAAAAGAGCTTGTCCTTTTTTTTCTTCTTTTTTATGATTTTCAACAAATGTATCCGTACAACTCACAAACTCAATTAATGAACACTACACCTCCTCCATCTTGCTCAGGAAACTTTTGTCCATTGTGTGTTTGCTTTCTTGATCTGTACATAATTTCGTTAGTGCGCCTCTTATACGAGGATTAGTGTACTGTCGTAAGAAGGATTCGATCCCCTGAAAAAGACCACACAAACTTCCAGCTTTGGTGATCGACCACACCCCCCTTTTGCGGTTGCCCAAGCGAAAACCCCCCCCTCCCCTCCGAACCACTTGTCAGCCAGCTCCGGTTCGGTTTAGTTATGCGCTTTTGCAAGGGTCCTGGCCAATCATCCCAGAAAATTCACGAGTCGGATACCGGACTAAAGAGCGTGGCTTTCGCCAAGTCGACAAGGTTTCTTACTCTTTTTGCATTATCAAAAAAGGAGAAAAAATGGGTTAGTGTTGGGCATCACCAGATCAAAAAGAAAGAGGATATTCCGGCAATTGGTATTTGACTCATGTGACTCGTCATTTTCCTTGCAAGGCTTCGTTCGATACGCGCGCCCATAATATGTCACTCATCAAACGTCACCACACTGGAGACCTGAAGCGCCCTTTTTGTTGTCTCCCTTCTCCAGGAAATTTTGGCGATGCTACCTGTATCATTATGCACATCATCGAAGAAAATCAAAAAGAGGAAAAGCCTCCCTTTTTCTACTCCAGGGTTTTGTCCGATGGACTGACAGAGTTTGCGGGAAGAGCCGCTCCCTCGCCACGGGACCCGGGGGTTGCGGAGCTCTAACTACCTTACCCCCTTTGGACCCAGCAAACTTATTGTGCAGGGTATTTAAGTATGATCATTTGGGAAAGGGGGGACCACCACGCATCCCACGTAATAGTTGTAACCCTCTGGAAACGACGGCACAACGTGACAAAACCCCATTCTCCCAGACTTATATGTATTTTCGATACGAGTACTCCGTACGGGATGCTCTTTTCGGACATGGCCATGTTCTGGAACAATTTTAGATCAGCAGTCCCAGTCATCCATGGAGCAAACTTCGAGTTTGGCGAATTAAAGGCACACCAATACTTGAATCAGGTGTGTTTGCTTGTAATCTTGCAAAATGTTGAGTTGCCGGGCCCCCGATAATTAACCCCCAGCTTGTTTGTTGAGTTGTGTAACCGGCATGGGGGGGCTTCCGAGGATCTTAATTAGTCTCGAAAACCGGTTACGTCAGAGGCCATTGCAAAGCTTTACTAAGTATGATTCTTTAAGTAGCTTGCTTTACTCTGAAGTCGTCTAAGTCCTTTCTTTGCCTATAAGTTTTGATCTGCTGACAAATTTCGAAGCCAATAAACTTCATGTAGAAGACAAAGCAGAGCGAGACGGCACTCCGTCTCAAACGGCATTTTGTTCAAAGAAAAGCCAAAGACTTGCCCTGGTCTCTTCTTGTCTGTTTCCTAGTTGTCCTGTTACTCCTGACCTTCTCTGCACTGCGTACTTCAGCTTGCTCGTCATAAGGAACTTCCTATCTACGAAGAAAACCAAGTTACAAGGTGGTCTGAGCAGAGGTCTTCAAATCAGATGAGAATGTGAATGCACTAAGAAGCGGCATCTCGAGTGGGGACGAAACCCAAGAGGACGAGTTTGAGAACCAGGATAGACTACTATATCACTTATGACACTTTCGAATTTCTTCCCAGAACAAAAACATGAAAGCCGAGTTGAGTGTGGTCTGGCGTACCGTTTGATGTCACAATCAAGCTTCAGACCTGGGCTCCTTCGAGGTCCCGAGTTCAAGGCCATGAAACTCTTCCCAATTTTTTCTTTTCTCTTTTTGATGAACTAGAACGATGAAGAAGTCGGGCGTTATCTATTGCAGAATCCAATAGTCGCTACGATGTTATACAAAAGACGAGCACAATGACAACTTCGAGCCACTCCTTCATCAGCAACTCCTCAGCAACTCATCAGCAACTCATCAGATTTGTGACTCGTGTACCGTAAACACATAAGTAGACAACAGCAACTCGCAACTCAGCACCATGGAATATTCGATGCCAGTTGATCAGGGAACCCAAAACCCTGTCAGCGAAGAGTCCCAGAACATAGCTCCCCAGTATCAGGAGGTGGGAAAATGTCATCACCCTCCCTTCCCGAAGCCTTCTCACATTCTCTTACTTACGACTTCCCGGGATTTACCGCCTTACCGCCCTCTGTTCGTCGCGATGTATGCTGCGACACCTCTGTTGAACCTCACCTGCAAAAGCTTTTACTGGTGCAACCAGCTTCGACCGCAGCAAGAGGTGGCTCGATGTGAATTTGTCCAACTTTTCCTGGGCGCGCTGGCCGTATCTAAAGCCTGGTATGCTCTTACCAACGAGGAGCTCGAAGCATTCGAGCAAAGTCGATACTCGCGGATGGAAGTCGAGTCCTTGGCGCGTCAACTCGAAGACTCGTTGCACCAAATGATGGTTCGCCTTGACGATTTCTTCTTCTTTGGGGCTTTGACAAGATACCCCCACAAGCCAATTGGCACTAACATTCCCAGGTACTCGCACGTGGAGTTGTGCACAGGCTTTGGTCATTTGAGAGGCGACTTTGGGAAAATCTGTTTTGCAGATACAGAACGTGTTTATGAGGGGGGCAGGTGGTTTGCCAAAATTCGACTCTTTCCCAAAATACGTTACGACGAGAATCTGACCAACAGGGTCAATCGCATTTCGTTTGAGAAGAACGTCGCGTCTCTGATTCATGAGATGGTACATGCCTACCTACAAATGTTTGTTTGTCGAAGTCCTCAATGTAACAGGAATCTACTAAACACGACAGGCCTGACTGGCCATGGTCCAACATTCATGAAGATGTTTGGATTGATCATGGAAACTGTTCGAACATGGCATCCTTCCCTCGAGTACGTGGGTCAAGATAGATGCGATGAGGGCACATGTTTTGACAGAGTCAATCACGACTATGAGCAAAGAGCTATCGAGGCCTATAAGAAGACAGGCAAACATAAAGGATATCTTCCTCTGAGATCGGACAGCCCCAAAACGCTCATCCGGATCGTCAAAGAAGATCTCCCCAATGGAGATTGCTTCTTCCACGTGGTTTATTCTGACCCTCAACAGCAAATCGATCCAGACGCAGAGTACGTGGACGATGCGAACGATGGCGGTTATGACGACAGTGAGGAATATGAGGAGGATGAAGATGACGAGATGAATGATTTGTGAGAGGCCACAGATGGGTATGGCTCAGTCTGGCGTGGCAGTATTAGTGCGTTTGTAAACGGAGTTGGTAGGTGCGAACTTTGCATTCGGAAGGAAATGGAGGTTTCTGGTTTTTTGGGTTTGCTTTGATTCTTTGAAATTCAGATAGAGTAACTGCGTTGTTTTCTTCCGGTATGTTTCGGAGTGTTTCAAGATCATAGTTGCATTATTCCTTTATTCTGTCACCGCATGAATTCCCTTTTAGACCATGGACCTTTGGAGTCAGAGGTGATGTTTCTTCTCCTTCTTTGATACCGTCATTCAGCCTCCCTTAGCGGTTGTATTGTATTGACTCATAGTACCATTACTAAGGGCATCATTCTTCCTTCTTCATTCGTGACAGGTCTTATCTATACATCTATACAGCGTAAACATCATTTCAATCCATCACTCTATCCAAGCCGGCATCCTCCCTATGCATCCGGCACGTACACGCCCTCCTTGCAGAGGACGACAATCTTCTTGAAGAACCGGCGCCATTCCAACGGGTCTCCCTTGATCTTCACGAACCGAATATCCAGCAGCTCCTGCTCCTCAGGCAGCTTGTGTTTGTCGACGTGAATCTCGCCATGCAGCGACTGTCGACGCGCGTCGAGCGTCTTGATCTTGATGATGATGATGTGGTCCGAGTACAGGTTCGGCGTGACGGGCGGCAGCGGGACGTTGAGCTGGTGCAGGGCGTCGCTGAGCATTTGCACGATGAGCTGGGGCGGCACGTGAGAGAAGAAGCGTGTGAGGGACTCGAATGGCACGATGTCGCGGAAGCGACGGGCCGCTTGGGTGAGTGTTAGAGGGACACCAGGGGTCTGCGAGAATTGGCTGATGGAAGGCTCCTCTGCGAGGGATTCCATGAACAAGCGCCGGTTAGCGACACCGCTCACACTTCGGGTCAGAGGTTGTGTGGAGGAGACGGCAATGGGGTTCATGACTTTGAGGGCAGGGCGCTCCCAATCCCACGCGACGTCGTTGATGGGTGTTTCAGGCTGGGTGAAGGAGACTTTGCCGGCACTATCGATATCCATGGGATCACTGCTGGACGGGTTGCCTTGGGAGGCTGTAGGTTGCTGGTTGAAATCGATCTTGAGACTTTCTAGCATCTGCGTGGCCAAGTTGATCGGGTCGGAAATCGTGCCGTCCGATGTCAAATGTGGGTTTTGCCTGGTATACCACGGGTGTTGTCGGATCTGTCGAAAAGAGAAGCGTTTGCTCGGGTCAATATTCATCATGCCTCGAAGCAGCGACAAGGTATCTGACGGTATCCTCCCCCAAAGCGCATCTGTGCTGCGGCCGTTCGTTCGCACGTACTCCTGGTACTCCCAACTACCTTTCGACGGCTCATCCCAGGGCGTGTTGCCAACCAAGAGTACGAAGAGAATAACCCCGCATGACCAGATGTCAACGAGATCTGGCGAGTACTTGATTGCGTCCGGGGATGCCTTCTTCTCTGCCTTGCCGCACGCGAGGATCTCAGGCGCGATGTATGGTGGACTCCCGCAAAGGGTGGAACTCGTCTTTCGTTGACCCTTATACTCGAACATGGTTGACATGCCAAAGTCAGCGAGCTTCAGACTTCCCGTCTCGGATAGCAGAATGTTTTCAGGCTTCAGATCTCGGTGCGCCACGCCCTTTGAGTGGATAAAGCTCACGCCGCTGATGAGCTGCAGAAAGTAGAGGTGAGCAATGTTCTCGTGAACGCCCACGTCTGCCTCAATCTTGTCGAAAAGGTCGCCTCCATCGGCAAACTCCATGGCAATCCATCGCCAATTGCTGTCCTCTCCCGAAGCGAACCACTCAATGATGTTCGGGTGCTGGCCGACATGTGAATGGAGTGACACCTCCATGAGGAGCTGCTTTGCCGACACGCGGCCATGCTTGACGGCGTAACCCTTGTGGATGAATTTGACAGCGAAGACGGGCGTATTTGCGTCCAGAGGAACAGCTTTCTTGATTCTGGATGCCCACAGTCAGTGGCGGGGTTCATCGGACGTGAGGTTGAGGGGTAGAGTTCCTACGATGCATAAGCCCCTCGCCCAATAGTCTTTGAGATGACCCTGAAGGGCAAGTCGCTGGGCAGAGGGTCCAGCTGTGATTGCTGCATCTTTGCTGAGTGAGACGAGAAGTTCAGATGGTTTTGGGAGAGAGTCTGCGGCAGACTAATTCATGACTGAGACCGACCGAGCACAGGGGAAATGGAATGGCGAGTAGGGATATCGATTCACGGTGCTGTCAGGCAAACGATGCCAGGCAAAATGAAATGCATAGATGACGTATCAAGCTAGCGTAGGGCGAATTCCGCACAAAGGGTCCAAGGGTCCAGCGTCAACAAGAACTCACCATGTTGATTGAGGTGTATGTCTTGGGTCGTTTGTCCCCCCGCGGTGGCACTTTGGAGCGCGTCTTGACCGCGTAAAGAGCTTTTGGCGTGTTTTGTTTGGAGTCATGGAAGGTGTTTCATTGCCGCCTGCATCAACGCGAATTCATTGGCCGATAAGCCCTCTTATCGCGGTTGCTGCAGTGTTGGTCAGGTAAACAGTCCGCCGCCACTGCTCCAACACACCCCTCCAAAGAAGCAGGATCCCTGCCCTATAGTGTCGCCGCTTTTGTGGCCAAAACTAACCTCCCACCAAGACCAACAAGCTATCAAGTCACCTTGGAAGGTGATCACTAGCACCTCAATGATAACAGGTCTAGAAAATGAATTGCGATCTGATTATTGCATTCGCCAATCTAAGGCCTAGAAACCCCTCAGTCTCTCTCCCCTTTCCATTTCCGCCAAGAAATCAAACTGCAAACAACTGGAGCCCCAAACTCTCGTACGAGAGTTCAGCAATCGGATGCTGCGGCTGGCCAATTTGCGCAAGTCAGTGAAACTGTTCTCTCTGCTCTTTGGAACACAATTTTCGCGTAATGAAAGAACAGCGCTCCTGCCTCTGCCTCAGTTGATCACTGAGCCGCATCATAAAGCCTCCCTTAGACTCGGTTACGTCGGCGGCGCAATTCCCTGCAGTATGTTAGGATAGTACCTATGTAAACATGTCATTGCACTTACTTGGCCGTCTTGTTGGTTAGCCCATAGTCACATCGACAGGTCCAACAAATCTTGAAACGGCATTTGGGGCAGGTATGGATGTGCTTGGTTTGCATCCTCTTGCAGACGTCACAGCGGTGACCTGCTTCATAAAGCGTTTCCCACAAATAGTGGTTATGGAATCCGACCAAGCAAACGTTCGGGTCTCGCTTGTACTGCTTTGCTGTGGCAACTTCTTTCTTCTCGGCTGCTTTCTTTGGCAGAGCGACCTGAATTCCGGTGGGGCTGGTCGTATTGTGAGTTGTCTGCACACCGGATTGAGTGTTGTTCAATGACGGGGTCGAGACGATGACCTGGTGTTCGTATGAGGAGTTTGTGGTACTTAGAAGTCTTGATTAAGTTAGTTTATCACTGAACTTTCGCCAGTTAGGTATAGGAAGGTGTGACTTACGCAGTTGCGCCATCTTCCTGAACACCGTGACGTGTACAAACACAGTCCTCCCGCAAGCAAAGGTGTTTCATCTCCTCAATAGGTTCAGAATCGAACTCGATCAGATCTTCCTCAATAGGATCAGGATCGAACTCGATCAGATCTTCCTCAATAGGATCAGGATCGAACTCGATCAGATCTTCCTCAATAGGATCAGGACCGAACTCGATCAGATCTTCCTCATCCATCTTCTCAGATTGTCACAAAAGCTGAAAATCAAACGATTAAGGACGATAGTGCGTAAAATAACACTAGACTTGTGAAGCTGAGGTGAGATAAGTTTGGAAGGTGTAGAAGTGGAAAAAAGAATTTAAGGGCAAGAAGGCCTGAGGAGAGATGGAAAAACAAAAAAAGGGAAGTGCAGAAGTGGGAAGGAGCGTGGCATCCTTTACTACCTTGTACAATGCTCTTTCTGGAGCACTTTATTCTGAAGTGAATATGCTGCAAAACACAGGAAGTTCCACAGACTAGACTTATTTAACAAAGCCTATATTATGTGTGCTTTAGAACTCTCGCTTGACAGGTGAGCGTATTGTATACTTACGTAAAGCAGAAATGAACATTGGCATTAGACTCAGATTAAGTTCATCTCCTCAAAATGTGGTATATATGCCAGCTTCGATATCACTTATACTTGAGCCTGCAGAGCAGATATGACTAGGGGTATTGTTGATCTTTGAACATGGTATCGATGCTTACGAGGACCGAAATTTGATGCCAAGGGAGGGCATGAACACTAAGTACCTACTCAAGGAAGACGTTTTACCTATAGACACATAGTACAGGCTCTGTACTACAACTTTGCGGTTCAGGTGTTTCTAGTAGCTGATAATTGAATACATCATTTGCTATAACCTTGTGTTTGAGTGTACAATGCTTTCCTTTGGTTGGACACATTCATTGCTCAGCGGAAGAAACGTCCAACTAGGTATGTAGGATTGAAATAGCGAACGAGGTATCCGTCAAACAGCAGCACCATGGCCTTTGCCCAAGTCACTAGGTATCACAAGGTGACCAGTGATTCCGTAAATCACAGACGGCCAATCGCGAAGTACATACTCAATTGAAAACGCATGTCCAATCCGCTCTTGGAGAACAGAAACCTTTCATAAGTCATGGTTGATCCGGAGGAAATTATTAACGCATTGAAAGTTGAATTTGTCGTAAAAAAGGTGCGATCAAGGCTCGAATTAAGATGTAAGGCAAGGTCGTCGCTTCGTACTCGCCGTTGACTTTGGTAACGGCAGCGACGACGCTAGTCCAAAAGCGGATGCCAAAGTCAGCGCGTCGCCCAGGTACCAGCGTCTCCGATTCCCCATCCCTGCCCTTCTCGCCCTACAGAACAATTGCCTTCTGTTGTTCTTGACGCTGCAAGCTTCCAACCTCTCCCCTTGACCATCTTCCCGCACATTGCATTTCCCTGCACATAAGTACTGGCTGGCCGGA